AAGGAGGAGTTATGGGACCACTGCAAGACCTCACTGCGTACAGCAGACGGAACAAAGAGTCTTGGGTGGTCCACCTCCCGGATCGGGCTCGACCTCCTGCGCCTTTCTCACATTGGCTTCAACCTACCAACAGAGAGCTCCAAGAACGCAATTAACGGGAAGAATGGTTTCAGGATCAGAGTGTTCAGACGGGTCAAACTGGCGAGACAGTGCATCAGGCTTAACATTTTTGAAACCAGGGCGGTACGTAATAGTGAACTTGAATCTCCCGAAGAACAAAGCCCACCTGGCCTGGCGTGAGTTTAGCCTCTTAGCGGACTGGATGTAGGCTAGGTTCTTGTGGTCTGTCCATACTACGTTGCTCTGCTCCTTCCAGCCAGTGCCTCCATTCCTCAAGGGCGAGTTTAACAGCCAGGAGTTCTCTGTTGCCCACATCATAGTTACACTCAGCGGGGGCACGCCACCTGGAAAAGAAAGCACAGGGGTGAAGACGAGAATCTGAGTCAGAGCGCTGGGAGAGAACAGCCCCAACCCCCACATCTGAGGCATCAGCCTCAACAATAAACTGCTTAGAGGGGTCAGGGTGAATCAGGACTGGAGCTGTTGTGAATAGTTTTTTAAGCTTGTTGAATGCAGGAGTCCATTGGAATGGAAGCTTAGAGGAGGTTGGACGGGTGAGAGGAAGTGCGACCTTGCTGTAATCCCGAATGAACCTCCTGTAAAAGTTAGCAAAGCCGAGGAACCTCTGTAGTTGTTTTCGATTACAGGGAGGTGGCCATTCAGAGACAGCCTGGATCTTCTTTGGGTCTGCTTTGACTTGTCCAGTTTCAATTATGAAACCCAGAAAAGACACAGAACTGGCATGGAATTCACATTTCTCACTTTTCACAAACAGTTTGTTCTCCAGAAGCCTTTGCAGGACAAGACGGACATGTTGGCGATGTTCGGATGGGTCTCTGGAATAAATTAGAATATCGTCCAGGTACACAAAAAACAAAGCGATTTAAAAAGTCCCGAAGGACATCATTTACCAGGGCCTTGAAACACAGCAGGTGCGTTTGTGAGTCCAAATGGCATGACACAGTATTCAAAGTGCCCCAGAGGTGTGTTGAATGCAGTTTTCCATTCATCCCCTTCTCTGATGTGGACAAGATGGTAAGCATTTCGTAAATCCAGTTTTGTGAAAATAGTGGCACCCTGCAATGGTTCAAAAGCAGAAGAGATGAGAGGCAAGGGATATTTGTTCTTAACAGTTACATTGTTCAAACCTCTGTAATCAATACATGGAGGTAAGGTCTGGTCTTTCTTAGCAACAAAGAAGAAACCGGCCCCCACAGGAGACGAAGATGGACGAATAATGCCGGCAGCTAGAGTCTCTGATGCAAGTCTCCATGGCCTCTCTTTCTGGTCGGGACAGGTTGTACAGGCGAGCAGGTGGAAGATGAGCTCCAGGAAGAAGGTCTATGGCACAGTCATAGGGCCTGTGTGGTGGTAAGGATAGCGCTTTCTCCTTACTGAAGACCTCCCCCAAGTCATGGTACTCTGGTGGAACTGAGGTTAAATCCGGAGTTGACATAGGTAGTTTGGATTTCGTCTCTTCTGACAGAGGGAGAGCTGACTGCAAACAAGACTGGTGACAAAATGAGCTCCAGCTAACAATCTTATTGAGAGACCAGTCAATTACAGGATTATGAATCTTTAGCCAAGAGTAGCCCAAAACTAACGGAGTCAGAGGAGCAGAGAAAACAAAGAAACGTGTCTCTTCGTGATGGTTGCCAGACAGAATTAAATGGAGAGGAACAGTGTGGTGAGTAATTTTAGCTAGAACAGTACCATTCAAAGCACTGACCTGAATAGGCTCTGGAAGAGGTTCAGTGGAGATCCCCGCCTGCAAAATCAAATCAGAGTCCATGAAGTTTTGCTCTGCCCCGGAGTCCAGTAGTGCTTGAAGGGGAAGTGACTGGGTATTGAGACACAGGGTTGCAGGTAACAGGAGTCTGGGTTGGTCAGTGGGGATTTTAGAAACCTCGCCCATCAGTACCCCCATTACTGATGAGCGGGCTCTTTTGGACGGACAGGACACTGAATGAGAAAATGACCACCTTGACCGCAGTACAAGCACTCGCCAGCTCGAATTCTCCGTGACCGCTCCTGAACAATCAACTTGGCCCGGCCCATTTGCATAGGACCCTCGGGATGGAGGAGCGGGGGGCAGAGCAGGAACATTATCGACAGTCTGAATTCGGGCTGGAGGTGAGGAGGATGTAGGGCGAGGAATTCTCTCGCCTTCGCTCGCGCAGCCTGTTGTCGATACGAATAGCGAGAGAGAGATAAGTTCCTCCAGAGAGACAGGGTCATCACGGACTGATAGTTCATCCTTTAGTGTGTCAGTTAATCCCCGCCAGAAAACTCCCTTTAAAGCTGTGTCATTCCACCCAGATTCGGAACTGAATGGAGTAGTCTGCCACACTCTTATTTCCCTGGTGGAGATCTAGAAGCCCCTTAGCAGCATTCGTCTCACAATCTGGGTGAGCAAAAACCCTTAAAGTCCGCAAAAAATTCTGAATAACTGACACTTTCCACGCCCCTGCCACCCAACATAGCCTCGGACCAGTCAAGGGCTCTTCCACGCAACAACCCCGTAATAAATGCTACCTTGGAATGGTCAGTTGAAAATGTCAAAGGCTGGCAAGTAAAAACAGTCATACACTGCAAGAGAAAACCTTTAGTTTTACCCAGGTCCCCACTGTATGGCTCAGGATGAGGAACTGGAGTTTCACGGGAGGGGTGTACAGCGGAGGCACCAGCAGGGGCAGCAGCAGAGGCAGCAATGGAAGTGGGGTTACTGGGTTGAGAGAGATTCTGGGATGAGAGTTGATTTGAAAGGTGCTTCACCAACCTGGTTAAGTTTGAGACTTGGAGTCCGATATTTTGATTTGATTCCATGAGATCCTGTAGTGACTTGTGGTGCTGGCCAAGTAGATTTCCTTGGGTGGCAACGATCTTCTCCAACTCGTTGGGTTCTGCTGGGTCCATTGTTTGGCCAGATCGTTCTGTTAAGAATCACTGGTCAGACCCAAATATGCAGTAACAAAAGTATTTATTAACGAAAATAGTCGTGGGCAGGGGTATAGATTCCAGGGGAGGTAGGACGGGTCCAGGTTGGCTGAAGTGCAATGGTGAAGAGGCTGACCAGAGGCTTGCGGAACATGTGGTAATGGGATGAGGCTGGCTCCAAAACGGTTGAACTGGGAACGGACAAAAGTAAACAGATAAGAGTCAAAAAACCTTCAAAATGCTCAAAAACACAAAAAGCCTGAGTAGTTCACACCTTGGTTGACGGAACGATCTGGCACTGGAGAGCAGGTCAGCAGGTCTTTTATTGCCGGAGATGATTACTGACGAGGATCAGGAGTGGAGCTCAGCAGGTGAGATGATTTGGGGACCCGCCCAGGAAAAACCAAATAAGGTGAGAGAAGGGAAGAGGGAGCAGGGAAAGAACAGGGAAGGGAGGGGTAGGAGGGACAGGAAGAAACCCTCACAAAACTAGTAGTACTCTCTCCACTGAAGGGTCCCCTCAGATACACTGTGCTCTTAGGTCTCTGTTTAACTGTTTCTGCTCCGTTACTCCCTGTCCTGCTCTTCTGTACATCTATGTTCTGCTCTGAGACAGATCGATACATCTGAAATCTGCTGAATGTTTCCCCTCACTGTCACTGTACTGTGTGTTTATGCACTCTGTAGCTGTAGTCTTTACTTCTCTTGCTTTGATGTTTGATGCCTCTTCATCAGCTTGGCAAACACTATACCTCGGTATATGATATTTCCTAACATAATTAATGCTTCATGCACTGTAGCAGAGTGGCTTGTAGCTAGAATATCTTGAACACCAATGCAAAATTTGCATGTCTGGGTGAATTCCCTCCAGGCATTTTGGTTTCCCTCATCGACCCAAACCATGCACTTGGTAAAATCCTCCAGCTTAAGTCGTCATGACCAAACCTAGTTTCAAATCTGGAGATGGGTTCCCGACCATGTCACTACTGCACCCACTGCTCTTGATAAGTTGCCCTGGACAAATTTCCCTATGGGGACAATGATATATACCTTATCACTTGCCCAAGCCAGTAACAAAGTAACTGGTGAGGGCCATTGGTCTTCACTCATTGCTTCTTCTCTGTTATTATTTTTCCTTGCAAATAATTGGGATTTATTTTGAGGGCCTAAACACTGAAGTCCCCAAACCGGGTATGGGATTGACTGGTCCGGTGAAAAATTTGATAAAATGGACATCACGACAATGCCCAAAGTGACTCAACAGCGCCACCTAGAAGTGGACCCCAATCGGAGTGGGGATAAGCAAAGTTTGGCATAGGCAAATGAAATTCAGAAGAGTGATAGTGAACAATAAGACAAGCCAAATGTTGAATTGGCACATACTCCTATGATGAACAGAAAGTTGGCCATATTGGATCAAAAGTTCACCACAGTTTTGACTGCATGTTTGTTAAATGCTTCTAGTCCTTGTTTTTTTTTTGTCCAAATGAGCAAGCATTTGACATGTCACATGCAGAGGCATAGGGTCACAAAAATTATCTTTTTTTTATGATAACCCCCACACATCCTACTATAGACATGAAACGCCAGCTTTATCAGATTATCAGATTCTATGAATAACTACAAGCAAAAAAAAAAAATATTACAGACATGGTGCATTTTCACAGCTAACCAACAGGAGTGCAAAGATTCCAAAAAAGAAACATTTAAAGGTGCACAGTGTAATTTTTCTGATGGAGGATCTGTGGACCTAGGCAGTTGCTGGGAAGGGACAATAGCATGCTGGGCAGTCACGTGGGAGGAGCGTGCACACCAGGGTGAGGGCCATTGTTGCCATGAGCGGCTTTTATTTTCACTTGTTTTTTTGATAGATCCCTTTATATTATATTGTTTATACTTGCCTTTTCCTGCCCCCAGTCTAATCTGCAGCTCCATATTGGCAGGTGCGTGGTAAGGAGCTGTCCCGTCTGTCCAGAGACCCCACCCTGGAGCTGAGGGATCCTACTCTGGCCCACATCCTGAGGAGGGGCCCTCGCAGACGGGCCGGTCTGGCACCTTCCCCCAGGGTCCTGGGCCCGGTGACCATGGGTATGGCTGATTGTGTGGACAGCTGTACCCAAACAGACATCAGCTTCCAGCACATGATGACTCTGGGGCGGGGCCAGCATCCCTGTGGAGCTCCGCCCCCTCCTCACCCTCCCCCGTCTCCACCCCTCCCACCTCTCCTGGACCCCTATCTGCTCAATGACCTGTGAGTGAATACAATATGTGCTTTCCTGTTACTCAACATATTTATATTGATATTTTCAGCATGTAGTACTTGTTGTTACTGTTACTGGGGATGGAAAGATATACAGTACAAAAATGCTAAATGAATTGTTATACCTATTAAGAGTATGGTGTATCAGCTTTTTACATTAAAATGTTGCTAACCGATAAAATGCACACTGAGCTTATTACAAATATTCAAAAATACTCTCTTGGTACTGTGTTTGAATAAAAATATTATTATATTATTAATATTATTATTCATAGAATTATACAGCGCATTTCAAGACACCCAAAGTGCTTTACAGTTCGTTGTTCATTCACTCCACACTCAGTGGCGGCAAGCTACTATTGTAGCCACAGCTGCACTGGGGCAGACTGATGGAAGCAAGGCTGCCAGTCTGCGCTATCAGCCTCTCCGACCACCACCATGAACTCTCTGAGGTACTAACTGACATTTTTAACACCTCCTTAAGACAGCAAGTAGTGCCAAAGTGCTTCAAGACAGCTACCATCATACCTATCCCAAAGTGCAGCACAGTGTCAACCTTGAATGATTACCGTCCTGTGGCTTTGACTTTGACTATTATGAAATGTTTTGAAAGGCTGGTTATGGTTATGACAGAAATAAGGAGGTCCATAAACGTGGCTGAGGACATACATCAGTATGCCTATCGTGAAAATCGTTCTACAGCTGATGCTATATCTGGACTGGTTCACATAGCTCTAACTCATCTTGAAAAAAGGGATTCTTATGTTAGACTCCTTTTTTGGATTTCAGTTCTGCTTTTAACACCATAATCCCACAGATACTGGTAGACAAACTCATTCTCCTGGGCTTAAGCAGGACACTGTGCAACTGGATTTTGGATTTCCTCACCAACAGGTCACAAGCTGTAAAGATCCACAACATCACATCTTCCTCCATCTGCATCAGCACTGGCTCACCCCAGGGCTGTGTTTTAAGCCCCCTTCTGTATACACTGCTCACTTACGACTGTGTCGATCACTATTCTTTCAATCATATAGTGAAGTTTGCTGATGACACAGCAGTGGTGGGGCTCATCATGAACAACGATGAGTCCAATTACAGGAGGGAGGTCTGTCAGCTGGAGGCTTGGTGCAAAACCAACAATCTGTGCATCAATATAAAGAAAACAAAGGAGATGATTGTTGATTTCCGCAGGAAACCTAATGCCCCCTCTCCTCTGTACATCAATGGAGATGCGGTGGAGATTGTTTCCTGTCTTAAATACCTGGGAGTCCAAAACATGAATAGTCTCAGCTGGTCTAATAACACCAGTTGCATTGTGAAAAAGGGACACCAACGCCTATACTTTCTTAGGCGCCTAAAAAAAGCAGGTGTGGGCCCCTCTGTCCTGAAGGCCTTTTACAGGTGTGCGGTGGAGAGCATCCTCACCACCAACATGACTGTGTGGTTCAGCAGCAGCACCAAGGCAGAGAGGAAAGCTCTGCAGAGGATAGTTAGAGCTGTGGAGCACATCTGCGGCTGTAGCCTACCCTGCATTGAAGATATTTACATCAGCAGGTGCAGGACAAAAGCCCACAGCATCATGGAAGACTCCACCCATCCAGCACATGAACTTTTTACAGCTCTCCCATCAGGCAGAAGATTGCGCCACCTACAGGCCAGGACCACGAGACTTACGGAACAGTTTTTATCCTGATGCCGTGAGACAGATTAATTCTGTCAGAAAAAACACTACAAAACAGCACTGACTTGGAACGCACTTTAGAAAATGGGGGCGGGTTGACATACAATATTTTTAACTATTTTATTCTTATTATAACTATTTGTTCTTATTGTTATCTGTGCTGCTGTTGACCTGGACCTGAGTGCATTGTTTCGTTTCTGTGTATTTTTTATACTGGAATGACAAATAAATTTGATTCTATTCTATTCTATTCAACACTCACACATACTCCACTTTCTTACTAGCCAATGTAGCCAGAACTGTTATCGTGTCATAAGGCAGTTTTTGCCCCTGGCACCCACTGTGGCACCTGATGTTCCCAGTGGTCTCCCATCAAAGTCCTAACCAGGCCCTGCCCATCAGCTTAGCTTCTAATATCTGAAGAGTTCAGGCTTTGACAAGCTGGTATGACCACTACATACTTTCTGTTGTTTAGATTTGAACCAGAATACTATGACCCTGCGGACTACCTCGACATCACTCAACATGAAGTGGACCGGCAGGATGACCTGGAATATGAGGTGAGTCACTTAAATATGACTTTGTTTGTTTTTAAAGCCCACAAACTCACCATGTTTCCTGTACATGTTATTTCTCCAGGAGGTAGAGTTGTATAAATCACGACAACAGGACAAGCTTGGCCTGACTGTTTGTTACAGAACAGATGAGGAGGAGGACCTGGGCATTTATGTGGGAGAGGTGAAAACAGCATCTTAACAAAACAAGACTGAAAGACTTTAAACTGTACTTCGTTAAAATTAACTGTTTTTCCTCAAGGTTAACCCCAACAGTATTGCTGCAATGGATGGACGCATTCGCAAAGGAGATAGAATACTACAGGTAGTTATCATTACTCTGTACTGATTGAATAGCAAAAGGTGGGCATAATAAAGCACTGTGTAACTTTTCTGTTAGGGTCCATTAAAACGTTCGATGGTATTAAACATGTTTATCTGGCATTGCCTCTCCACAGATCTGATTTAGCCTATAACTTGGCCTGGTAGAATAGAATTATCTTTATGGAGTTAGAAGGATGTAACACCATACTGTGGAACATTCTGCTTAGACAAAGCTATATCATCCATGGAGATAAGCTGGTGGTGAACCCTCACCAAGAAAAGTTATATAGTGTCCCCTAGAAGTTTCCTTGTTTCAGGATATACTAAAACAGGAGAGGCTCAGCGTGATGGAAAGGATAAAAAGTCCATCTATATATGGATAACTTAAAAACTAAAGCTGAATAATAATAATAACTAATAACTTTTCAAATTTTTTATAAAACAGATTATTTTATACCTTGAGTAGGCAGCTATGTGTAACATCAAAATACTATGAAACATTTCATTTCATTGTGTCCAGGTGAGTAATGCTCCAATCCTGTATAACCTTTACTTCAACACTGTTCAAAATCACTGCTAATCCCTCTTGTTCCCTACAGTAAAAAACCTTCAACTTCTAATGTGACATTTCAACAAGAGTTTTGGAGCTTAATAACCACAGAATTGCATTTTAAAGCAGCAACCTTTTCACAAATTAAGTAATTTAATTGAAGCTGGCCTCAGTGCAAAGGGTTTAAGGTCCTCTGTTATCTGGCATTAGCGCAATTCCCCTCGTCTTTCAGATAAATGGAGTGGACATCCAGGATCGTGAGGAGGCCGTGGCTATTCTCACCAGAGAGGACAGCACCAATATCTCCCTGCTCCTTGCTCGTCCCGAGATAGAGGTGAGGCAGTTGTATTTTAAATGTGTGTATGTTTATACCTAAACCTTACAGTTTTACTTATGTTTTAAGGTGATCCTAACTGTATGAATGTGGTTATAAATGAATTGTATTTCTTGTTATTATTGATGTAGGGCACATTTACTGTAGTATGGATTAATGTAAAAAGGGCAAACCTTTTTACCTTACTTTTCAATTACATTTCATATCACTAAATCGCTCAAATTTCTCTATGGGAAAAGTAAAGGTACCTATCAAACTTACCAAATGAAACTTGTCATTTGGAGAAGGTGCACACTGATAACAAAATTTTAGGGATGGTCCTGAAAAAAACTATAAAATACAAGTGATTATGTCTGCAACACCTGCAAATCATAGTATTTGTTAACTCTGTAACCCACTGAGGGAGTATGGTTCACCATTTATCTGCTGTTTGCTGCAAAGTCACTGGTGTTAAAGGGGAGGGAGAGTATAAACATGATGAGACCACAGATACGAGGGCAGGCAGGACAAGACAAATAGAGCCTCCACTCACCGAGCTAACATGGCCCCAGCTTTATTCATCTCAAGGTCACTCTTCCTCCAACAGATAGGGGGGGCACTGGAGCACACCAGCACATCCTTCCTATAACTGCTGACTGCCAAATAGGGTCTGTTCATGGTCTAGAATTTAAGTAGTATCAAATTCTCATATGGATGACAATGACCAATATTATTCAGTGAGGTGCAATATTCAAAAGAATAGCTCAATTGATTTTTGTTAGGGAATTAGGTCCACAATCTTGCTATACACTATATAGACAGAAAATAATAAATCATTAATGTTCCACAGTATGGCATTAAACTTCTGATTCTCCATGAGGACAAGCAGGAAACACAGGTCAGATCTCTGGAGATGCAAGCCAACTCTGAATAAGAAAGTATGTTTCCAAGTCATATTACACGTTGCAATAAAAGCTGCATAAAATAGCTGCATTAAATTTTTAACTTTACATGTTTATAAATACAGAACATAACTTCAGCTACTTTACATTTGCCTATCACTAAAAAACACTAAATCACAGATCTCCAGAGTGGAATATGATCAAAGATTCACAGCACGATTTGATTTAACATCGCTAAGGCAACATATGGGGCCTATCCAACTGGATTTTGACTCAGAGTTGGAGGCTGCAGGCAGTGGAGTGGTAACATCTGTATTCAGACCACAAATACAGACAGAGCTATGGGGCACATTTAAAAAGCATCTCATTAACAGTCTAACACAAAACAAGCTCATAAGACTGTTGGAAGATTGTAGAAAATTTGACTTAAGCATAACATTTCTTGTGTTTACTATGGACCTAAAGAAATGTATTGATGATATAAAAAACACCTGGTGACTTGCAGTTTAATTTATTATTTCATTTTTTTCAGTCTTAATTTTAGTTTTTGTCTATTTTTATTTTATTTTTAATTTTGTTGCATTTGCATTTATCAAAAAAGCAAAACAAACAAATAAAAAAAAAACTCACAGGTGTGAACAGTCAGAAAGAAATCAGATTACTCACATTAGATGTAACTGTTTATATGACATTTTAATAATCTGGTTACTTCAGAAATCAGATTTCTGGTGTGGCTGTCAACACGGAAAGCCTATTGGACTCCTTAGCACATATGGAGTTTGATTTTAGGAACTAGAATCCCCACAACTGAGCGTGTAAACAATCCATTATATGAACAGTAACACCCCCCGTCTGGAAATCTCACAGAGGGTGGAACAAATCAAACACTGCAAGGCCTGACATAGTATATTACTAAGGCAGGGGCTTCAAGAACGGCTAAACCAGTACAGAGAGATGAGGGTGCTGTGAGAGCGTAATAGGGAAATGCACATGCTGAGATTAAAGACTGGAGCTGTCGAGGGAGAGAGTGAACTAAAAAGGACATCAATGAGTGAAGAAAAGAATAATCAATATGTAGTTACACAGTCAGAGCACAGTTTTCCAGTGTAACAGGGTAATTAGACAAGGGTTCATGAGCACTAAAAGGGTTCAGGTTTTTCAAGCCCTAACACAACTCGTGTTAGCGATAGGGATGTCACAATAACTGAAATATCATGATATTGTTTTGTCAAAAGACTCACGGTGTGGACTATCACAATATATTGAATTACTAATCTCTTTGCTGAAATTCATTGTTATGGTGCAGAAATAGCTAAAAAAAAAACTGAAGATACTACTGCTGCTACTACTACCTGACCAGCCAGAACCATACGCTTTGACAAAACTTTACAAAGACAAGAAGATCTGAAGCCACATCTTGTTTCCTTGATTTCAGAGAGCATGATTGACATGCATATTAATCAATCAGAGAGATTCATGTTCAGTTTGCATCAAAAACAAAAATGGCAGTTTACATGTAAAAAAGGAGAAAAAACATCAGCACAGATTTTTGCAGAATCAACAATCGAAGCACCTTATCTTATGAGATACCTACTTATCTCAGGTCAAAGAAGTTTCTTCCGCATTTGAGAAACATGTGATTATCGGCTGAGGTCGGACAGTCCCAAAATAGGAGGGGATTTTCACCTTCTATTGTTTGATTTCAGTCCCTTCTGGGTTTGAACAAAATATGGCTGGTCAGGCAAATATAGACCATATCGTGAAAATATCAAGGGATTTTTTACATCCTTAGTTTGCGACCAACTCATTATTAAATCTAAAATATTATTAACTTGTGAGGCAGCTGTTGTAGTGATTTGGAGATATACAAAAATACTTTGGATTGCTTTCTTATGTGTGCATAATAATAATAATAATAATAATAATAATAATAATAATAATAATAATAATAATAAAGGAATTACATATATTAAGCTTTTTTAAAGCAGTAACATAAATGGTAATATGTCCTTATGTAGCATTTTTTACCTTTAACTGGTACTGAAGAAGCTTACATATAATAATCATTCATACTCATGCATTCACATAGACATTGCTGAAGTGTCTTGCACAATGACAGTATGCATTTCCAGTATCAGAAATGGAATCACGACTGCTGTTCCCTTCTGAAATGGATTTAAAAAAAAATATAAAGTAAGGGGAAGACCCAGGACACGCTGGAGGGACTATATCTCTCGGCTGGCCTGGGAACGTCTCAGGGTTCCCCCGGAGGAGCTGGAGGACGTGTGTGTGGAAAGGGAAGTCTAATATACAGCATTAAATCAAATAGTTAGTTTAGGCCTTTTCTTGTATTACAATTGTGTCATTTTTGTATTTAAGTAAGGTAACCTCAGAACTGCAGATGTCCTTTTAAGAATGAAGTTTTTTTTAGATAGTGTACATAATAGTCAGTGTGGATTGTATAGTAGGCTATATTTGTTGTCATGTAGACCTCAGACGTGCATTTCCAATTAGGATGTAATGAATTCCATGGTACAGAACAATTATGAAATTGTAGGTGTTGAAAATATTTTTTGTAACAGCATTTTTTTTTTTTGTTATGTTCTCACAATGTTGAGCAATTAAAAGAGGTTTGTCACTATATTTAAAATGTTCAAACTGGAACATTTGAACACAAACTTGATTTCAATATTAATACCAAACTGGTAATTTTACCATAAACTGGTTGCAAAACAATAGCACTTTTCTACCTTGCCCAGAATTATCATGGAAAACCTCTTGTAGTGTTATGTATTCTACTTTAACTGTGCAAATGTTGCTTTTCTCATGTGTTCAGAATGGTAATCAGTTGGATCAAGAGGAGCAAGACCTGGAACCTCTGGACAATACCGCTCATTTATCTGGAGACCAGAATGTCAGAAACAGTAACGCCGAACAGTACACTGGAGAGGGGGGCTCAGCAGGGGGCACCATGATGGGGGGACACTCCAGAAACAGAGATTCTCCTGTTCTGATTCAGACGGTGCTTAGTAACAGTCAGGAGCTGGACAGTGGGGTGGGGCGCACAGACGAGAGCACCCGATACGAGGAGTCCTCCGAACATGACTTGTTAGGGGATGACCACACGAGTGCCCCCAACACCAACGCTACCAACACTCCAGGAAGTATGCGCAAGTTCTTCACCCACCGAGCAGACACACCCCCTCTGCTGCACTCACAGGAGCTGCAGTTCAGCACAGACTCACTGTTGGGGCTGGAAGGGGTCAGTGGGGGGTGGGGGGAGCAGGTGGACAGGGGCTATGGGGCAGACGCCATGATGAGGACCATGATGATGCCGGGACTGACGGAGGAGGAGTGTGAGAGGTACAAGGAGCTGCTGGAGATCAAGTGTTACTATGAGAAGAACTGTAACGGGGAGGGCGACACCGAGGAGGGTGGCGTGCCTCTAGACGTCAACAGAAACGAAAGCCTCTCGCAGCATGAACTGGCTCTGCTTGAGGAGGAGTTACGCCACCTAGAGTTCAAATGCCGCAACATCCTCAGGGCACAGAAGATGCAGCAACTGAGGGAGCGTTGCATGAAGGCCTGGCCCCTGGAGGATAAGACCCCAGGGCTGGGGGCCGGGCTGGGGAGCGGACTGGGGGCCGGGCGTCTGGACACTAGTGCGACTCTGTCTGACATCAATGAGATCCCAGAGAGGGACCGCTCCGACAAAGACAGTACAAGTGCCTACAACACTGGAGGAGAGAGCTGCCGAAGCACCCCTCTGGTCAGTGAGCAGTACCCTGCTAACTCCACCCAGAGCCTGCAGGGGGGTGGAGAGGCTCCTGTGTCACCTGGAGCTCAGCTGCCCCCCCTCACCTGGCAAAGAGCAGACCAAGAGAATAATCTGTACTCCCCACAGTTTCACAGACGAGGAGCAGAGGCTAAACCCTCCAGCCCCGCATTCAAAGTCCGCTCTCTGTCCAGAGATGGTTCCAGGAGAGGGTCTGATGGAGCAGTAAAGCGCTCAATAAAAACCAATGGCTCCTTTGAGAGGACAGGTGGGCACAGTGCAGAGAACAGCCCCTACCTGTCCCGCAGACACACAGAGGCCCTGCCTCCTCAGCGCTTCCTGAGCTGCATGCAGCTCAGATCTCCACCCCCCTCACCTCAGCTGGGTCTGTCTAGAGAGGGGAGCGTGGGCAGTGGTGAGGCTAGCCCCATGAGCCTGGGCAGCACCTGTAAGGACATGCCCCTGACAGTGGGCTCTCTGCCCTTACCCCTGTCCCCCCGCATGGAGTGGAAGGTGAAGATCCGCAGTGATGGCACAAGGTATGTGGCCAAGAGGCCTGTGAGGGACCGTCTGCTGAAGGCTCGGGCCATGAAGATCAGTGAGGAGCGCAGCGGTATGACAACTGATGATGATGCTGTGAGTGAGATGAAGATGGGGCGCTACTGGAGCAAAGAGGAGCGCAAACGCCACCTGCTGAAGGCACGAGAGCAACGCAGGCGCAGGGAATTCATGATGCAGAGCCGCCTAGAGTGTCTGAGGGAGCGTGAGAGAGAGCAAAGCACTGGACAAGAGGGGGCGCCACCTCCACAGCTGCCCTCATCTATCCTGGAGCTCTGCCATCGCAGAAGCACGAAGAAACGCAGCCGCAGGATCCTGGACAATTGGATCACCATCCAGGAGCTGCTGGCTCATGGGACACGGTCTGCAGATGGGACAAAGGTCTACAACCCTCTGCTGTCGGTCACCACAGTGTAGTCTCAGACACACACCACCAGCAAAAGAACTATAACAGTTTGAGACGAAACAGTCCAAATTAAGCCATCACAGCACAAGAGCTGCTCTCCTTTACAATCAGAGTTTATCACTGAACTGTGAAGTGCTCCCCCTGCTCAAAGGCACAAAATTATGCATTTAAAGTAGCGTTTGGATTATGGTCCTTTTTGTTTTGTTGGCACACACTGTAAATGAAGCTGCTTAAGGTTGATGTTTTAGATGCACTGACCCATTAGACATTATTACTATTGCACATCTTACAATGCTTAATGCAAAGAAACTAAGACGATGGGCTTAATGCTTATATAAACCCATAGTCACTGCATTTTTATAGTCAATCAGCGCAGTGTGGTTACTGCCACATGGACAACATAAAACATTCTTTAATTTATTGTTATATTCTTAAAATATATTTAAAATATCAAAAAATCTGCTATACATAATAATAGAAGAGTAGTAGAAAAATATGTTACAAAAAAAGCAGCTTTATCTGTATTTGAAGGGGAAGCACTGTTAAGGAAAAATGCCAATGAAGGAGTGCCACCTGCTGGAAAATCATAAACAGGACACAAACATTGAGCACAATACTTAAGAGCCAATAAAGCAACTGTGAAGCAATTCCTGTGCCATGAGTGCAACATCAGTTCATGTCACTAACAATGTGCCAATTGACACAGAATATTTTTTGTAAGTTTCTAGAAAGCACAACTCACATAGTACTTACTAGAATAAGATGGGCCAAATACAATACAAAACTTAGCAAAGCACAGATATTATGGCTATCAAAATGATAATGCATTAGTCTTTTCCAAATGAACAAAGGCACAGTTGTATTTTTATGCATCATTCATTTACACCTCACTTGCTCCTGGTAATTTACTTCTGTAGACACAGCTGTCTTGGGACAGACCGACAGAAGTGAAGCTGCCAATCTGCACCATCAACCTCTCTGACCACTTCCACCGTCACCACATTCAGTTTAAGCAAGATGGTGAGGTATCTTGCCAAAGGGTAACAATGGTACATTGCTGCCCCATTATGGCACCTGGTATTGCCAGTGGTGTCCCAGCATACCAGTTTCTTTCTCTATGCTTTTTTTGTCTATACCATCTGAGACAAATGTATGCTGTTAGCTAAGACTGAACATAATCCATTTGAGAACATGGCTAAGGCAGTTCTGAGTTTTCTGCATGTTTGATGTAGAGCCAAATGCTTTTTACATGGTTGTTAATGTGGATGTGACTTTATAAATGCTTCTAACTGTAGCATAGAACAATGTAATGTACTTGCTGAATGTTGTGGTGTCCAGTGTCTGCTATTTAACATGGGAAACTTTTCTATTGCAAATACTCTAAATAAAAACTGACATTAAAAGTGTGTTGGTTGATTTGACACAATAAGGAGACACAATATTCCTAAACAATTCTAAACCTTTATTTTCTAACAAGTGTGAAAGAAACATTAAAATGAAAAACTTTATACACATATTCACGACAGCTGTGTGTCCGTAATAGCCATAATATTTATATAATAATTTGAACTCAGAATGGACAATACAGTGAAGTTGATGTGTTCTTCCAGAGAGCAGAAAATAAAGGTAGAATAAAGCAATAAAACAAGACTGAAAAGCTTAAAAAAATAAAATATTAAGAGGGAGGAAAAGGAAGGGTGGGAAAGCCAAAGAGGTACTTCTGAGAAAGTAGCACCAAAACAAGAATGCCTGTTTTTAACACTTCCCAAATAGTTTATCCCACTTTAAACAAAATACATATCCGTAAAACAATGTTCAAATCAAGATTCAATATAACTTAAGGGTGAGCATGGTTTGTTTTCTAAGATCAGCTAAAAACAATTGCCGAACCTTAACTCAAGTGTCCTGCCCACACGCAAGCGGTTTATCCAACTTCTGTGTGGGCTGAATCAAGAAGATATATACTGCAACAGTCGGAGTGAGCCAGGCTTGCACTAGCGTTTAATACAGTTGTGATAACGGTATACTGACCTTAGAAACAACTCAACACAAAGAGAGCACAAAGAGACCGCCATCTGTCCATGAGTCCTATATGTCCAGAGGAGGGAGGGACAGTGGAGCGGGCATAGTAATACAGTGTGAAAGATTGATGAGTGGGGTACTGATATGGAGTGTACGTAGGAGTCCCTTTGCTCCGTTAGTGTTGGAAAAATGGACAAGTTTAAAGGAGTAGGGTACATGGGGGGGTCCCGTGTCTTTCCCTAATCTTGACACCGTCTTCTGGCATTTAGCATGTTGCTCCAATAAATATAGAGCTCCAGTGCATCACAAAATCTGCAGAACAGAAGCATAACACAGGAAATTAGCACTTTGCTACATTCTGGCATATTTACACTACCTGTTACATTTATTCATTAACATGGACTGTCCCAAATACAAAAAATAAAATAAAATTACTAAGTAAATTAGTAAGTAAATCCATTATTCCATTGAAATAGTATAGTATTTTGCCTGGCCCATCTCAGTCAAATGTTCTCTGAAACACGACTTTGTGTATAAACTAAAAATATTACCTCTGGATGCATGTAGACTGTTGGCGTGGGAAGGGAGGGGCTCTGACTCGGAGGGCAGGTTTTTTTGGACTCCGAAGCGTCTGTCCCGTCCCTGTTCAAGCCTCTCTGACCCTTACGTTTCCTTTTGTCCTTGGTCCGACCGCGGTTACTTCGCCTCTGCTCCTCAAGTTCAATCTTCAAACGATGAAAACAGTAGAAACTGAGTATCATTTAACATCCCTCTAATTTTTTTTCCAATATAGTTGCATTAGCATCAGGCTTTATGTAAAGTGTGTAAGATTTTTTTGACAACTGCACTTAGATTAGAGATTTTATTCAGAGTGCTCATTGTAAATAACTCCAGGAGCATGAACAATTCAGAATTGCCATTTCAACTGCAATTGTGCAGCCCTAACATGAACTGCATTTTAGTGTCCTACCTGTATCAGAGTGTGCAGCGTGTCTGTGGGGGGATTGGAGGCTGCCTGTAGGACCCTGTGGATGGTGTTGGTCTGGTCCAAGGACACCTCCAGCAGGTCTCCTTCCAGAAGAAGCTCCTCCAACTGCTCCCTGGTGGATGGAGAAATCTCTACAACAGGGCCTTTCAGAGATGGGAGCAGGAACAGCAGAGACCCCACTCCTGAAAATAAGAAATTATGAATTATTAAGAGCTTGTTCTTGTCACACATTACATCATTTTAGTAATCAGAAATCTTTCACCTTCACTGGACTTCTGGTTGAGGCCATTTTCTGAAACAGACTGTGGAAAAAAAACACCAAAAACAGAAACTTAAATCTATGCTCACAAGGAAACTCTTCTTCCATAAAGCAACAGTAACTTTCTGGAGTTCATCTCTTGATTCCATGGAAATAAACAGCTAAAATCACACTTCTGAACATTCTCCACACAGATGGACACATTTTGTGCGATCCTGTGTAATACCATAGTCAAAGGAACATTAATTCCATGAAAACAAGCAGGTGGAGGCCCTCTTCCAAGGCAAAGTATGAGTTAGGTTTATGTGTGGAGATGCATGGCGCACTCTGAGTAAAGACACGTTTACGTTTTCAGTGCAATAAAAACATAAAAATGTAAACAAAAAAAACATGCTTGTATTTTAGTTTATGTTTTGGCTTTTTACCTTTACACCATTAATCTCCTTTTTCTTTGGTGACTCATCGGTCAGATCTATGACTCCATCATCCTCAGGCTCCTCAGAGTCGGACAGGACGATGACTGAACTCTCCTCTGGCTCCTTCTTTACCTCCGGCTCTTTCTTTGTGTCGCTCTGTAGTGTGTCTTTGAGTTCCTGCAGTTTCTCCAAAGCCTGCTGTATCTCTGTGCTCTCTAATGCCTCCTTTGCTCGTCCTTGCCATGTGATAGCCCGCTCCGTTAGACACTGCAGTGCCTCGCCTTCAGGAAGTCTCACCGGCAACTTCTGCAGAGCCACCAGTAACGCCAGGATGGTCTCGAGCCGCGGCCGCCGTGACCTTTGACACTGTGGGCAGAGGAAACGCGTGTCCCACTCCCACCAGCAGAGGGCATTAAACTGTTCTGTTGAGGAGGGGAGTAGCGAGGGGAAAGTGACACAGCCTCCGTGAAACCAGTCCTTACAAAGATGGCAGCGCAGTTGAGGAGCACGAGGTCTCCCCCCGCAAACACACACACTCGGAGGGCTCCCGTTCTCTTTCACAGAGTTCTCTGAGTGGTTTGATGAGTCTGTTTCTATGGCACTGTCCCAGCCTCCGTTCTCCTTTTCCTCCTTGTAACATGACACACCAGATTTACACAAATTTAATTTCTGTAACCGCAGAAGTACTTCCTTCTCTTGGTGCTCCCCTTCTTTGAAAGCCATAACCTGATGGAAAGGAAAAACAAAAATACAACTTCAATAGAAAAGTAAAAAGGATATGTTAACATTATATATTCATTAAACATACAATAGCAGCAGGATCCCTCAGATCCTGTGCAGAGAGCCCTAATGTGTTGTTATCGGTATCGTCCAAAGGGTCCTCCATGGGCTCAGTGTGCTCCCTCTTCTCTCGCCTTTTTGCACATGGACATAAAACCTGCAGGGAGACAGTGAGGTTTAAATACTAGCACAGGTTTCAATTGGAGAGTAGCTCATATATAAAATATTAATACTATTGGTAGGAGTGTGGGCACATGACACTACTGCTTTTCACTCTTGGTCCTGTACCTCTAGCAGACTATGCTGACTGCTTTTCTTTAGGAAGGTCTTGCTGGCTTTGTCCCTCCACGAGTGAGCACTGGTCACTTGTAGTTCAAGTTGTCTGAGCTCAGTCATAAATACTGGCAAGTCCCTTCCAATTGCCACAAGACCCTCAAGATCATCTAGACATGGATAATGCTCCCCGTTCTATGGAGAAAAAATAAGTCTCAAATAGCTGCAGGAGAAAAATGCATTTTAGATAATAAGTATTTCAAATGATGTACCTGAATTTCCTCCAGATCTGTGACCCAGGCCCGTGCCCGTGTCAGACAGCCCTGTAGGGCCATGATGTTGGGCAGCTTCACTGGGATGAGTTGGGCTTCGCTGACTATTGCCTCCAGGGTGGAAAGAGGGTGTTTTTGTCTGTACAATTAAAACAGAAAATATGTTCAGGGTTCAAATCATGTGGGAGAACAGGTTTTTAAACTCTCAAAAGCCTGGGGCTGTTCATGTAGTTTAAAGTTAAAAAGGTGTTACCTCTGCTCCAGACAGATCTGAGCCTTCTCCTCCCAGCGCTCGGCAATAGTGAGCAGCTCCTGTAGTTCGGCCATGGCCGTCTCCACAGAGATGCTCTGGGGAACGTTACAGCCCGCCTCCATAAGACTCCTGAGCACAGGCAGAGTCACCTCCTGTCGCTCGCCACTGTCTGTGCCCAAAGTGCACCGCACGTCTGCCAGCCAGCGGCCCTGCTCCTTCAGCCCCCGCAGAAGATCACTCTCTGGCACAGTCACAGGCAGAGTATCCCCCTGCTCCAGCAGAGCCTGGAGCTGCTCTGCCGGAGGAGACTCTTTTCTCCAGTCTTTGCTGTTTATAAAGGTCTGAGCCAGCTGCTGGAAAGACTCCACTGTTTGTACAACCGCCTAAAAGTAAGAAAATACAGATGAGCAGATGTTCAGACCATAAATGTTTGGATACTGAAAGTAAAAAACTTAATACTGTACCTTTACTTCATCTAACTTATTCACTACACAGGGCAGATTCTGCATGGTTTCCACCAGTGACGTTAGCTCAGCTGCTGTCATTTTGTTTTCACTGCAAAAAAGGAACAATTTAAGGAATTGAAACCAGCCAGTGTCTTTATGCTGATTTAATAAACTCTTGGTCTGAAAACAGAACCTAATAACAGTGTCTTTATGCTTCTCATGTAGGTGAACTCACCCCGTTTTTGATAAACTGAGGAGGTCTGCACTTGCTTTTTGACAGCGCTCGTTGTCATTCAGAACACTGTTGAGTTTGCGAAGCAGTTCATTGTCGGGAAACTTTTTCTCACAGGCTTCTGACTTCAGTTTCTCAAGAGCATCAATGTCTAGGGGCATAACATAAGTGAAGCACACTCCATTTTGCAAGTCCCAAAATCCATTGCAGGTAATTTCTTACCAATCTTGTTTCCTCCCTCTTGTTCCAGTGCCTCCTTAACTCTGCTGGCCCACGAATCAAAGGACTCAGAGCGAACCTTTAATCGGTGCAACATGGCCAACAACTCATCCAGCGTATATCTATATCTGTGGATAGAGGGTTTAAAGTTTAAAAGGTGCTATGCTTTTTATAGTTTAAAAACCTTGATAAACACAACTAATACATTTGAAACTGTTTGCAGCAGAAGCTATTCCTCACCTACCTTACATTAGTCCTAACTATTGACCACAATAAGTTTCTAAGAGCTTTTCACAACTTTAAGAGACTACAGTTTTGCTCTCATGGTAAAGCTGGCATGGTAAACACACAATTCCTGATCCCTTCTTGATCTGACAATAAATATCGAATTTTATAATTCGATGCAGACCATAGACAGTGAATTTATTTTTTACCTCAACAGCTGCTTATACAATATGTCTGTACTGGGGCAAGACGCATTTAACGTATGAGCTGAATCTAAAATGAAGACTTGAGTCAAATGTGCACAGACCTGAGGTAGAGTTTGTCAGTGGGGCAGTTGCACAGGTCCTGAGTGTGGTAGAGACACACCAGCCTCTCGGGGCAGTTGGAGCAGGCAAGGGCAGACAGGAAGCATGTGGTTTTACATTTATCACACTGTCGCTCATCGTCAGGAAGAAGCTCAAATGCCTCTCTCTCTGCCTCAGTGATGCCCTGTGGACGGAAAAGATAAGTAATGATGATCGTAATGATTATCGTGATTAAACATGTCATAATAATATGACATGATTTAAGAAGCAAAGACAAGTACTTTAATTCTATACTCAAAGTACAATGAAGTAGGGCTGGGAGATGATCTCTCTCTATATCAACAACAACAATTGTAATATTAAGGTTTATGAACATAGATGAGATAAACTTTCAAAATAAATCTTAGCTTATTCATGAGTCTCAGCTCCTTGATTATTATTAGGTGACATTTAAAGTATTTCTTGTTTTTAAATCATTTATTGCTATGGCAACAATGCTATTTTTTCCATCATGGATAAACAAGTGAATGCTTTCCATTCCTCCCATATTTTTTACTACCAATGAATAGGCTGTAGACATAATCGATAAAACTGCCCCAAGCCAATAATTGCAAATCCAATTAAAGTAATTGCACAGCCCTACACTGGGGAGGTCTCTAGAGAAAAATAAAATATACAAAAAGTGACCCTACCCTTTCCATCAGAGCCTTCCTTAGCTTCCTCTCTTCTTGTACGAGAATAAACATCTCTCTGTGTGTAGCTGCAGCCATGTTGAGGTCTAGTTTTTCTGGACATGTTGCCATTTTGCAGGTGAGTTCCTCATGGGAAAACACGCAGTACCTCCTGAGATGCCTGTAATGCTCAATACAGGAGCGACCTGCCGGGAGCTAAAGAGGAAAGAAGGGTGTGAATTGTTATTGAAAACTTGTCGTATTACTAATGTACACATCATCTTACCCAGTCTGCAGTGCAAAAGTTGACTGCTTCGGCAAAGTTGTAACCCTGATTAAAGCCACTATGGTATGCTCTGGGAAAAGTGATGACAAACTCTCCTGCACACTGATTAGTGCGCACCACCTGAAAAACAAGAGTCTCATTCAATTCAGTTCAATCAGTATCAAGGAAACTACAGTGTAATTAAATCATATATACTTCAATTAGACATTTCCTAAATAGTTTTGGATAAGCTGATGGCATAAGCACAAATGTAGCATGTCATAGACAGTATGTATTCCTTATGTGTACACTTTAAGTACAAGCTTCACTGCTCTTCTGGTTACCTCCTGTACAAGTGTAATGGCAATAAAGTTGAATAAATTCTGATCTTATATAGAGCTTTATCAGAATTAGATACGAGTACTAGTGGTGTAATGATACCCAAGACTCATGATATGATATCATCACGGTATGAGCCTCACGGTATATTTATTGCAATATCATGGGAAAGCTCATGATATGGTGGGGAGGCTCACGATTAGCGATGTAACAATATCCAAATCTCGGCACAATATTTTCACGCTATACATCTCACGGTACGACAGTTATTGCGATATTTTGTGGAGGGTAACAAAACTGTGAATATGCTACTTTAAAGAGTGTGGACCTCCCATAGACATTGATTTGCAGAAATGCAAGATGACACACTCCTTTGAGCGACTACCTGGAAAACACAGCAGGTGCAAAAGCTGCTACAAGAAGGAACGCCAACATGAAACTGTATATGGCTGTTCAGCATGCAATGCCCACATGTGCAATGACTGTTTCCGGCAGTTGCATCCACCTGAGGACTGAGTTGAGCTGTAACTGAATGACTCACACCTGACTCACACCTTTCAGATGAATCAGTCCTTCCAGATGTTTTTAGATGTTCCTATATTGAAAAAAAGTTGAAAATGCTATATGAGTTGAATAAGCTATGTGTTGAATATGAGTTGAATAAGCTATATGTGTTGAATAAACTATGAGTTGAATAAACTATATGAGTTGAATAAGCTAAAAGGAAAATACAAATTAGGTACACACAGGTGTACACTTGGCTATACTGTGTCTGGCGATATGAAGTCTGTTTAAATACTTAGACAAATATATTTTTAAATGTTTTTTATGAATATAATGCTCAGAACATGCATATATCACATGCTGAATGTAGTTTTTTGTTTTCGATTTTGCACCTGACCAGGTAAACTCTCATTTTCAGTGATTTAAACATCCATAAATGAATAGATCAGAGTCTAAGGTTTCCAGAGATACCAAATATGTCTATGTTTCAATTAAGTTAATGAGTGTGAAAATCATTTATAATCACTCAAGGAAGTTCGTTTTCTTTTATGCACTTATGCTCTAAGGGTAGCCCTAGTAACATATGTATGGGTTGTTCCTAGTAGGCGTCCAAGGGGGAAAGAATGTTAAAATGCCTTGACAAGACTTAATCCAAAGAACGAAGAACGTAAAAATGCTTAGAACTGTTATTTCTTCATGTAGTCTACACTGAAATGGAGCAAAGGATCATGGTCTATATAGTTCCCATTCTCTCTCTCTCTTTTTTTTTTTTTTAGCCATTTCTGCACCATAATTTTTAATTTAAGCAAAGAGACTTGTAATTTGATATTGTGATATTGCAATATTATTGTGAGAACCTTGACGATATGATATCACAATATTTTGGTTATTGTTACATCCCTAATGAGTACAGTAATAATGAAGAAACATTTGTATTGAAATTTAAACAAGAAGTATTTTATCATAGTGGTGAAATCTGTATTGACTTGAGTAATATGAAAAGTGCAGTCACTCACCGGTACCCCGTGTGCCATGAGGATGTTTGGGTTCATGATGGTGACTAGCTGATGTAGCAGATCGGGCTGAAACTCAAACAGCTCCGGAGTCAGTTTTTTCATCACCTCCTCCAGTCTCTCTGCTGCCACCGATGGGACGCCATACCATGTTTTAGGCTCACCCCTTCATTCAGATGGCACAATTAGGTTCAAGTTATATTTTGTAACCCTGAAACTGTGGGACAAGTAAAGGTTCTGCTCTTAAGAATCTAAAAGTGAGATGCATACCAGTGCAGGTAGTTGATAGAGTAGCTCCAGTGGTCCTCAATGTGCCAGCAGAAAGCAGAGAAAACCATTCCTACGTAGAGCCAGGGCACCTTCATTCCAGAGATGTCTCCATTGATGTGGCACAACAGGGACTGCTCCAGCAGAGGCATCACATTCAGGTTCCAGCCGGAGCGGGCATAATTCTGTCGGAAAAATAATGACGTTAATAAACTGTAAACCACAACGTACTGCTTGATTGATCAATCTAGTTTTAGTATCAAAGTTCAAGGTTTAATTCAATTCAAGCTGGACAAGATGGCTCTCCCTGTTCTCAGGCCAGCTTCATCCCCAGCTCTGAAGGATATCATTTTTATTTATTAGGGCTGGGGAAAAATAAAAAATATTAATCGCATTAATCACATGAGTTTGAGTGCAATTAATCACGATTAATCGCATGCTATACGCAAAACTAAATTAAAGAATTAAAAAGTAGCGTATAGAGCACTTTCATTGGAAATGTAAATGAAAGAGCCATACATTTCTTGTGCAAACAGCATTTCTTTCAGAGAGGAACCATCAGAGCCTTCTAGGCATTCAGTGAAGGCTCAAGAAAAAATATTGCATGAATTTTTGTACTACTAATATATTTTTTCAATATTTTTTATTTGGTGAGTAATAAACACTACACTAGTAATAATTTCTAGATCATTGTTATAAACTTGGACTAATATTTCTTAGGAAACAAAGGGTTAATATAATGGAATGGAAATGGACCAATCTAAATTTTCTTCCAATGGTATCTGGGTAAATCAGTGACTCCCCCTGCAGCATTGAACTAAAGAAACACCTGGTGGCTGGAACGAAGTTTGAGACTGACAGCTGTCTTAGCCAATCAAATTTTATTGAGTTACGGGCGGGATCATATCACGAAATCTTCCGGGCCTTTGCGAATAGCTTGTAATAGCATTATGTAAGCGAGACCACAGCGAGGAAAACCGTACCAGACACCTCTATTTGAACGCCTCAGGGGCGTCTGGAAGAAGGAGAAGAAACAGAAAGACCCGTGAACCAGAGCCCGTGGCTCGGTCGAAGGCTCAGACACATTGCATCTCACGTGGTCAGAATAAAAGTCAATGAGCAATAGACGTTTACAATAAAAAATAAATAAAATAAAATAAAAACTGCGTTAACTGTGTTAAAATAATGGCGATAATGAATTAGTTAAAGCAAAATTAACTCGTTAACGTGCCCGGCCCTAATATTTATCAAACCATACAACCAAAATGTACTATTAATTATTAATAATTTCACAGTGGGTGCAATTTCAGATATCACTACATTCTACAGGTCAGTAATGTGGAGAAACTAAATGTGCACATTTTTGGTGTAGCGTAGTGGAAAATAACACTACGAATAACTGGTTTCAATATTTGAGTTTCTTTTTGTTTCTCATTGAACTACAATATAATCAGAAAACTGATAACATCCCATTATATTTTCTAAATAAAAAAATAAATTATTTGATATCAATGACGACGTTCATACCTCCTCTTCTTCTGTGAGAGTCCTTTTGCCATTGTTCATTGGGAATCCACTGCCAAACTCTTTCGAGTGAATGTCGGCTCCATACTCCACTGTCACGTCCTCCTCGATGCTGCTCACCAACCTCCAAAACTCCCTCTCCACCAGCTCTGTGGGAACCATCTACAACAACAGGTCTGGCATCAGTCTCCAGCTCCTCCTATTGAAACTACAGTAACTTTTAGAGTGAAATACACTTACATGGACCGGCATGTTGAAGTAATCAGCTTTGAAAGCATCTGCCATTTCACCAAAACTTTGCAGAGTATATTCTCGTGTAGCCTGTTCAAAGCCAAAAGCTTCTGTGGGTTTCTTACACTCCTGGAAAACAAACAGTATTTTTTTATTCACATAACAACCAAACTCATGTATAATGTAACCTTTCGTTATTAAGTATATTGTTTTCCTGTTGGCCTTATTGGATAGAACAGATGTAAGTATGATTGAACAGCGAGAGACTGTTAAAAGGTTGTCTAGATAGAGCTGTTTGATTTGATCCATAATGCAGAGGCCTAGACTCCTTTTTGCAATATGACAATCTCTATTAAGTTAAATATTAGATATACACTACTCACAATAAGTTAGGGATACTGTTATTTACATGAGTGCTTTTCCTATTTGGTCTGAATTTTAATGAAATAATTAAAAGTTCCCTTTGATATTAGTAATAATGAATGAGAAGAAACACCATTTTCATTAGTTTAATATTTATTACCCCAGAAATTTAGACAATAGCAAGAATAGCCCCAAGTAACAGAAATGAATAATGTCTGTAGTGGGTGTTTCCACCATTTGCTACAATGACAACTTGACAGCGAAGTCTCATGCTCCTCACGAGCCTCATGATGTTGTTCTGAGGCAATGCGTTCCACTCTTCTACAAGTGCTACACACAGTTCTGCCAGGTCACGTGGGGGTGGGGTATGATCATCCAGTCTCTGCTTCAGCTGGTCCCAGATGTACTCTATGGGGTTCAGGGCAGGAAACAGTGCTGGCCATACCATATGAGGCACTCTGACTTCCTGAAGACGACCTGTGACAATTCTGGCATGATGTGGTGGAGCATTATCATCCATGAACAGAAAGCTGGGGGTGTGCTGGCGGAATTGGGGGATAATGATGGGTTCTATGATGTCTCTGAGGTAAGAACGTGCAGTGACTGATTCATCTACAATAACCAAATCTGTTTTGCGCTGACTGGTGATGCCTGCCCAGACTGTTGCACCTTCTCTACCAAAGTGAACCCTGGTGACCATGTTGACCTCGGCATGTCGCTGACCTCGACTTCTCCACCAATGCTGACAACCATTATTTCTGTGCAAGGTGACCCGACACTCATCAGTGAACAGGATGATAGACCACTGCTGCATTGTCCAGGTCACATGGTCTTGTGTCCACTGCAAACGTTCACGGCGGTGTCTTGGTGTCAGTGGAATCACCTGCAACGGTCGTCTGGCATTCAAGCCAAAGTGGTGGAGTCGATTGCGAATGGTTTCTGTCTGGAAACCCTGGTACCCCTCACATCTCGTAAATGAGCCTGCAGCTGTGTGGCAGTTGCATAACGATGTCTGAGTGCATAGGTCCTTAGTTACTGGTCATCGTTGCGATCTGTCACTCATGAGGCTCCTCTCCTGAGTCCGTCACAAACTCTGCCAGCAGTTCTGTGTCTTGATGCTAAGTCTACTGATGACACTTTTACACACACCAAGCTCACGAGCAACATCTGACTGCCTGTCACCGACTATGGCTAGGTGGCGCTGCTCGTCTGTTAAGTGATATTTTTTGTTCATGGCTGTTTGAATTGTGAACTTCAGATGACTTGACAATACAAGCTTTTTATACCCACAGAATGTTGAAATTGATACCACATTGAAAAGGATTTTTGGCCCCAGTATGTAAGGCACACTGTACACAGTGAGACTATTACTTGGAAAACCCAAAATGAGATGTGTCTACCACGCCAATACCATTGCCTCCCTATCCCAAAAATTTCCGAAGTGAAACAAACACCGTGTATATGACATTCACTGACTCTCTCACAATATCCCTAACTTATTGTGAGTAGTGTATTTACTCCATGTGTAATGTGTATACCCTTTAATTATTGTTCTATTTTGGCTTTGTATTCTTTGTTTTAAGATTTGAAGACCTCCTTACCTCCTACACAGGTTACTAAGACCATTTAATTTCTATTATGGATTAAAACCTAAAAGATAGGAGGAATAAATAGCACTTAAAACTGATAAAGCACTCTCTACCAAGGCCACCTCCAGTTTGGTCATTTTTGACATTCCTTTTTATAATAGAAGCACAGCCAGACTTGATTGGCAAATAATCACAATGTGTTGAGAGTAGAGCCCGACCGATATGGATTTTGCTGTGGTCGATATGAAACCAATATAATGGAAGTTGGAGCTGCCGATAGCCGATATAATCACCGATTATGTTGAATTGTTTAAAAAACTTAGGTTTGGCTCTGGTGGATTTTAAATTGGGTTTATTTAGGCAACATTTATTGTTATTCTGCCTCTTTACATCATATTTACAGACAGTAGGTTGACTTAATGTCATTTTTGCATCACATTCTAGACACTAGTGATGGGTATTCCAGTTCTTTTTAGAGAACCGGCTCTTTTGGCTCGGCTCACTAAAAGCTGCTGGTTCTTTTGGCTCCCAAGTGGCTCTTCAGATTGTTTTGTTGCAAGCAGGACTAAAGCACGTCTAAAGCAGGACTGAATCAGGACTGAACCAGGTCTAAACCAGGACTGAAAAAGGACTAAACCGGGACTTATTTATTTTATGCTAAACTACAGTCAAATATGCTCGTTTTTTGTTTTTTGTTTTTAATCCTACGTACACGCAAAGTTCTCAAAGTTTCGTTTTTAGCCGCTGCCGCTGTCATACCACGAATCTGCACGCGGCGTGAAGAGAAAAAAAGTGAGAGAAAGAGAAAACACGGCTCCCGTCGTTCCCTTTAAAGAGCCGGTTCTAAGAGTCATTTCGTTCGCGACGGACCCATAACTAGTAAAGAAAGTAGCGCTATCAGCCTTTAGCCGTAAATACGTGCGCGCTGCGGTAATTAATTATATGCGCAAATGTCATAATTCACACCTCTATTCACAGCTCATTTACATATCAGTGCAGGTCCAGTAGCAAATATACGGCCAATATAGTCACTTTAGAACAGACCAATAGAAAACAGTCTGTTTATGTGCGGGAGCTACAGCAGCTAAGCCATAACAAATGACAAAAACTAGCTTCAGAGTTGACATATTTCCAACACTCACCGCTCATACAGGCTCCTCTCACATCACAAATCTGCACTAATAAATGTCCTTTTAATCCAGACTCAAACCGATTGTCCGTAAAAAGAATATAATCTCAGTGTTTGGATCTGTGTCTGCAGGTGTAAACAAACACACGTGAGCGACGCAACTCTGTGGTGTGTTCAGGGACAGTACGGACACACACAGACAAATGACTCCGTAGATAAATACTGATGTGGAGCCACATATTAGGACATTTATCTGTCTGTAAATTGGATTAAATGAACAGAATGTAGAGAGTCTAACCTTTATAACGAGGTATAACATGCCCATGTGAAATATCTGCCCCTATCAGCAAGCATCGGCCGATAGCCGATATGCCTAAATGCCATATCAGCCGATAATATCGACCAACCGATATATCGGTCGGGCTCTAGTTGAGAGTTGACGTCTCCCGGTGGTGGTAAATAAACTTCTCTTATATCTTTTTCTAACTATTGGGCTACTTGAAGTATTTCTACAAAAAGCCCATTTCTTACCTCTGCAACACATTTCGGACAGCGCCATCTGCCCTTTGGGAGGTCAGTGAGCGGGGGTAAGAGACAGAAGGTGTGGTAGTTGTCTTCACATCCATCACACAGCACGAGTTTCTCATCGTCATCTCCACGACCGCACATGCGACACACAAAGGAGTCCACCTGTGAAGAAACATGGATTGTCACGATGCATACCTAAAAGAGCATATAAAGAAATACCGTAAAATCCGGACTATTGAGCGCACCTGAATATATGCCGCATCAACTAAATCTTAACAAAATTTTAAAACTGTACATATATAGGCTGCACCTGAATATAAGCTGCAGGTATCCATGTCTTCAAGGACATTATTAAGTTCGGGCCATCTGCTTTTATCGCCTCTGAAAACTTTTGTTGTCTTTATGCACCGAGTCAGTTCGTCATGCTGCCATCACCAAAATCTCACCATCGACTCATTGATGCCGAGCTCATGTGCAGCAGCTCAATTTCCTTCTTCGACAGTCCCATCAATTGCCGTGAACTTAAAAGCTGCAATATCTGCATTTCTTTGTGTGTTTTACATGAGAAGGGTGTGTGCATGAAGCACAAAATAACTGTTCAAAAAACAATCAAACTAGAAACTTCCTTGGAGCATCACCCCCGTCTCTCCCCGCGCTCTACGGCGTGTGACTCCTGCGTGTCCTGTCTGGTTTTATATCAGTGTGTTGGAGGATTTCAGCAGATTTCAGACTGTCTCAGGAGTGGGGCTAGTTCTATCAATCAGGTATGAGTGGATGTTCGGCTACTGAACCTTGAGACGTTTCTTCTCGTCATTTACGCATATGGTTAAGACGTATCCCCCCTCACTAATGTTAATTTAGCATCATAACTTATTTTATCACATGACCATAAACTATTTGAGTGTGTTGACAATATCGCTAGCTAGTGTAGAAACTTCATGTTAACCCTGGATCCATGTGTGAGGCGCACAGACAGTGGCGCTTTCTGCACTCAGACTGCGCGTATCCGCGATGTTGCCAAACCATAGACTGTATATATGAATGGACAATGTGCCAAACAAAAAATCCGTCCATATATTAGCCTCAGGATTCAAAGTGAGAGAAAAAAGTAGCGTCTTTTAGTCCGGAATTTATGGTAATTGCTAGATTAGGTGAAATTATTTACATTCTGAATATTAATCTTGGTTTGAGTAGTTTTGACTGAGTTTGTAGGCCGATTTTTCCCAATTTTTCATTTACTTGTTTCTTATTTCATGTCAAATATCTGTAGGTCTTAATAATATCTACTAATATATAAAAAATGTCTTGACCAGAGGTACAACAGCACAAGCACAGGCTAATCTGGAAAATTGTGATGGCCAAACTAATTGTTAAATTAGCACTGCTAGTAGTACTAATTACTAGTGCCTGAGAAAACTGAAATACTAAATGCCAAGTCATTTTACGACATACAACTACCAAGCAGTCAAGTCTCTCCACTGCTCAGCTAAATCTTACCGAAGTTGTGTTGATGTTTTGCCGAAGCCTCATAGTCATTTTGGCACGGTCATCGGGCCCTAGATCTTTCTCCTCCACCGCCTCCTCTTTCTTTATATCTGGCTTGACTGTGACACTGGAGGGAGGAGGGGAGGGGCTGGGGTCACTCTCTTCAGTCTTTTTTTCTTGTGATACATCAAGCTCATTCTTGACTGCAGCATTGACCACAGAAGGGGACGCGCCTTCCTTAATGGTAATCGTTTGAGGCAGCTCTTCTAAAAAGGAGAAACAAACTCAAAACATTTTTCAATTCTAAAACCAATTTAAAAGGTGCACTAAGCAACTTTTCTAGTGGAGGGTCTGCCACCAGATTGTCTCCATCAAGAGGCTTGGACTGTTCCACACACAAGCTGAGATACAGGTCAGAGTGAGTCCAGTGGAGAAGTGACCATGCTCAAAGTAAGCATTCTTGTTCTTTTCAAGATATTATTAGAATAATACAAACATCTGAAGTTGAATAAATGACATGTTTAATTCCATACTATAGAACATTTCAGGCAAAGCAATCTCCATGGAGACAAATAGGTGAGAAAAGTTACATCGTGTACCTTTACAAGTATACATTTTGTAATTCATGCTAAACATAATTTAGATTTTAAGTGTACCTTTTTTCTTAATGCCTTTGTCTCTGGCTACAAGTCCAAGTCCCATCATTTTAGGTCCTGCTCCGTAGATCTGTAGTTTTTTAAGCTCTGGGTTTTTCTCAATGTCCTCCTCTGTTGGCTCAGGCTGTGAAGAAAGACAAATACTTAAAATGTTTCTATATAAATCATCCATTCTGCACAAACAAAGCAAGTATTGCGCGGCCAAGTGCAAAAGTAAGTTCTTGAACAAGACAGCAATGCACCACAAGGGGTTATACTAGGTGAAAAGAAAAGTGAACCATTTTACTAGAAACTGAAAAGTGAAAATCTGAAAGAAGAGCGCCCACCACCAAAGCCTTAAACACACAGATACATCAGCAGTTTGATGTATACTGAAAAAAACTCCTATCGCACAATATTGAAGGCCACAAAAGAAAAATGTATGTTTAGTAACCTCCTATGAAAACAATCTTCATATTATGTCCTAATTTGTGTAATTTAAATTTAAGTGCAATAAGGGGCACATGCAGCAGTATGAAGGGCAGCTGCAGGGAGTAAACAGCCAGGCAATGGAAGCATATGTAATGTACACAGCCCAGACAAGTACAATCACAGTGAGCGTCAGTGAATTGCACTTAAATTTGAAACTTTTTTTCTCCCCCCCTCAGTGTAAATGGCAATTATTTAAGTTTTCAAACAAGGGGAACCAGTTATCTTAAAATCTATGAAAAAAGATGCAGAGTGTACTACGGAATATGCTAACAGTTGTTCTAAAATACACTGGCATGTGCCCCACAAAACACAGAGGGTGAGCCATCGTCTACACTATTGAAATTGTTGTTTTGAAAGTTAATAAAAAATAAAAAAAACTTAAATATTGAGTACATAATCTCTCTCTAATAGAAGTACAGTAAACCTTGAATTGTCAAACATTGTTATCAGGAGACTGCCCCAAAATATTTATAAAAAAATAATAAATTAACATTATTGTCAATATGGCCCACCGTTACCAAAAAACATGCTATCTTAATATCTTATGTTTTATTGTCAGCTAAAGATTTTCAAGAACAGCCATGACGGTGTTAATGAAGATGATGTTAATAACAAACACATTGAAACAATCAGACTGGTGTGAGCAGGTTAAGAGAGGGGAGCAGAGGGAGCAGAAGGGAGGCCCGATTGCTGAAGAGGCAGTACCGCAGAGTGGAGCTCAGAGCCTGTGCTGAGAGGATGAGGGGCCACATCCTCTGGACCCTGCAACAGGAGACAATAACAGCAACAATAAACTAAGACAAGAGGACAGACGACAGAGGAGGGGGCGCTTACGTAGAGATGCTCATCAAATACACCTGTGTTTCAGATAGCATCACAATTTATCCATGGGTTTCAGAATGATGAAAAAGACAGACTATTGGCATATAGGTATCCAAATTAACAAAATATTATAGCTTAAAAGTATTAAAAATGTCATATATAACAGAAATCCTAAACCCATAATGATTAGATCTGTAGAGTAAAGATAAGATGGGTTGAGATGAGAGGCAGGTAAATCACTATTGTTAATGCAGATACTTGGTGGAGTGATAGATGACATTTCACATGACATTCTTAACTGCATATAGTTAAACATTGAGCTGGAGGGCAGGTCAAAATTTTATGGTAGAATTTTGCTTTTGACCTGACTGGTGGTTAAAAACCTCTAGTTAAGACAGCGTCTATTCACATGAAACAAAAACCAGGAAAGTCCCACTAAGATTTGTAATGGCACTTTCTATTGGGCATTTTTTAGTGGTAGGAGAAACCAGAGCACCCTGGTGAGTTTAAATACAAAATGTTTGTGTACTCACTTGCCAACAAATAATTTGTTTAACTAGGGATGCCCTGATATGATACTGGTATTGAATATCTGTGCCAGTTACAAAAAAAAGTTGGATTGGATATTGGTTCAGCAGACATTTTTTCTCTCTCTGGATCAGTGCATCCATAAGTTTGACATTTGTGGATTTTCAGTTTGGTTCCTTTGTGAACAGTGAATCTCCCATTGAGTTATACATGCATCATACAGGCTCTTTCATCTGAAATTATATCAAATTATGGAACATGAATGCTACCTAGAGAATAATACATTCATCAGGAAATGGGACATGTTTTGGTGGCAAATATGAATGCTCAGCCCGATAAAAATTTACGCAGATTACTATTTTGTTTTTTTTCCTAATATACATTTCTATTGAAAATGGCAAAATGCACTGGATCCTCCTGCCCACCATCTTAAGAATGTGACATCACAGTCAAGAATCTAAAAATCAATATTACAAGAGACTTTTACTGTATCTGCACTTTTGGCTCAGGCAATAGTGCAGGTTAAAAGTACAAGGTATGTTTATTTTATGGTGCTAATCTATTTGCTTAAGATGCAGATGAAATACTAACCTACGTTGCAATTACTGAATTTATGAGAGAATTTTGAGAAAAAAGTGAGCAAAGGAATAGTGAAATGTAACAGACCAACAGAGAGCAGCGTCAGTGATAACAAAATTCAGCCACAGAAGAAGCAAGCCAGGGCAACGAATTAAGTGCAGCTTTGGTTTACTGAGGAGCATGTCAGGTATAAGATAAATAAAAAAATTAAAAAAAATTATAATAATTCATTCAAAAAGATGCATGAACTGAGGATTGGGTGTCTATAAACAAAGATGCTCTAATACTGAAATAAATGTTAGTAGCCTACATTAGATAATAATCATAAAATGCAATCATTTATTTTGAACTATGCTCAACAGCCATAACAAGTTTAAAGAATGAAGGGACAGACATGTGAAGCAATGGCTTTTTAGTAACAGTCAATTTCCCTACCAAGTTTTAAGTGAGTAGATATGACTGATCAGTACATAAGCTATGATTTGCTTAGCTGAAACTTTCTTTTATAATGAATCATGATATCAAGTCAGGTGACATTAAGCTGGTGGATATTTGATAGCTGTTAAGGATACCAGCTCCTAAATTTTTTTTATGCATTTCAACTCTAGCTCAACTGACAGAAACACAAAGGGTGAATGACAATGCTGTACTCACATCTGGTTGACAGCGGTTGGCACGGCGACCGTAGCTGTTCATTTTGGACGGAGGGACAGACTGACGGAAAGGGATGGAGTGGGGCTTGTATTCTTTATCCACTTCCTCCCCGTCATAGTGCCTTGGTTTGCAATGCTATAGAAACAAAGGAAAAAGTTGAAGAATCAAGTAATGAAAATTTCTCTTTACATTTCTTATATAGTTGTGGATAAAACAATGACATGTTTTTTATGCAAAACACATCAAAGCAGGGTTAAAATCTCTTTGCTGAATATTAACAGATCTAAACTTGGTCTATACCACCGTCATGCCATGGCAAAAATATTTCTAAGTGAATAAAAAGGAATTTGACAATTTGATGTAGCCTATTTTGTCATGTTAAAGTCATACCATCAAACTGGAGCCGGACTGGAACATTTCAAAAGGATACACAATCCTTTCATAATGTGATCGCAGAAGAGAACCCACATTTTTGCCTGTGGGATAGCCAAGCCTCTGGGCCACACGAGCCCAGCGGCGCTCCTTACACACCATCTCAAACCCGCCTTCATCTGTTACAATCTGAAAAACAAACGACATAGCACGTCAACAACTATATAACAGGACAAATAAAAAACACAACAGAAAGAGGCACGAACCTTTGACAAACTAAATAAATCAACAATGCGCCTTTCAATATGTGGGATTTTCAGTGAGGATCCCTGAATCTCCCAGTATCTTGCAATGCGGTCCAAATAATTCAACTTGACCCGTGTTTCTGCCTGAAAGAATGGAGAAAGAAAGTTAAATATACAGTATAACTTCTACTTTAAGTGAATTGATATATTCATTACCTCCAACTCATTTAGCCTCTGGATACGAGGTGTGAAACGAAAGGTGTCCAGTTCCACTGAAAAAGGTGGTTGCCAGTCCTGTTTCAGAATGAACAAATGCAAAATTAGCATAAACCGTAGCACGGTATCAGATCTGAGAGCCCCGTCTATGTAGAGCTGTGCAATTTGTGCATTCAGTCATTTTTAAGTGTTGACAATTATGTGCTATGGTATTTTTAATTCTGAGGTCTACAACCAATCCTCAGTCAATAAAAGCTTGTGGTTTGCAGAACGCAAAAAAAAAAAAAAAAAAAAAAAAAAGAAAAAGTTATGTATTCTTATACTGTGGCTTTGTATTTCAACCCATTGTCACATGTTTAGGTTTTGTACAATGTTTATGGGTTGTCCTTTTCCCTGCCAGGGGACTGTAGATGTAAATTAGCCCAAGGCCAACTCTGTTACAATGCACCAAATGGCAACATGTAAGTTCTAATTGTACATGGTAAATTTTTAAATAAATAAAAAAGAATTATTAAGAAAACTGTGATTGCTCAATATGAAGACTCAAGTATATATATATTTTTTTGTCATTTCACCATAGACCTCCAACAGACTTAGAAGCATATAGCATCACATTTGATTGTTGTTGTACGTTAACTAATTACACAATTATTATTCTGATCTAATAATATTAGAGTGCAACTGGAATAATGATGATTAATTCTATATTTACCGGAGGAGGTCGAATTTTGCAGATTCCAGACTTCTCTGCAATGGGACGTATCTTGGCAATGTATCCTAGAGGATCCTGAAACTCCTCCCATGAGGGCTCAAAGACTGGACACTCCGGTGGAGGGACAAACTCTTCCACTTCCATTGCCCTGAACAAAAGAGCCACCAGCAGTTATGTTATGTATAGGCAGCTACACGAAAACTCATCCAAAAAACACCCACAAGAGATACTGAGCAAGAACAAAATGGACACTTATAATGTTCACAAATGTCTCATATAAGCCAACAGTAATATCATCATCATAACCACATCTCAAAAGTGAAAGGAAAACACTAAAAAGGAAGTGTCCAGTATGAGGTCAAATCATAATATTAACAACGTCTAATTCAACAAAGGTTAGTGCCTCATTAATATAAGTGCAGTAAAAATAGACACATCCTAAACAGTTACTTCCTCTTAAAAATGTAGTTATGTTGTATAGGCACAAGCAGACAAACAAATCCTACAACACCCACGAGAGATACTGAGCAACAACAAAATGGACACCTCAAATGATATCAACCATCTTTAAAAGACCTACAGATCAAAACTAATAGGCAGGCAAAACATTCAAAACAATGCTGATAGGGGCCCAGACAGAACTCAAAACATAATCTCTTTACATCAACCAAATCCAACAAAGGTTTGTGTAATCACTCCTTAACAAAAGTGTAACAAATATAAAACTGTTAATCTACTAAACAACATAATTAACAGCATAGCATTTCTACCTGAGTGCTCATCAGTTTACAACAAACAATGGCGTGGAGAGGAGGCCATGAACTCAAGGCCATAAAGCATCACACTACGTGGAGGTGGATTTCAAGCCATAAAATGTTGAAAATATACCTACTCAATTGAAACACGCCTCTTATCACATCTAGTACACATCAATCCATTAGTTTAGACTGTTATCTGATTATATCTGTTCGCTGAAGCTCTTAAAATTTTAGACTAATAATCTAATCCACAAAAGCCTAAAGTAATAAAACAGAAAGGTCAACAATACATACATTGTGGATTAAGATTGTAGGTATATCTTGTCATATAATCACAAAATCATGACTGATCTGGTTATATTAAACATTAATGGTATT